AGACGTATTTTCAATACTAAAAAGTTGAAGAATTTAGGAATTTACCGAGTGGTTGACTTTAACCGTGAATAACTTTTGAAGGAGTAGGTATTACACATAGAAAAATTGTAGGACATCTTTTTTGTAGAGCGTTTAATTATGTACAAGAATGTGTAATTGTCATGGCTGCGAGAGAACATAATCGAGAGAAAAAAATTATTTGCAAAAGGTGGCAAATTCCCATGTAATTTAAATGGGAAAATTTTTTTAAACAATGAGACACTGTAGATTTTAGTATCATAATTTAGCGTTCTTGATAATTGACATTAGGTGCATTAATACTAAAATGAAGCTGACCAACTAATTAAAATGAACCATCTACAACATACACCCTTCTCTTGTATAATTAATTAAAATATCTTAGCTTTGATTCTTCCTCTACAGTGCGTAATTGAAACCCAGATAAACATAAAACTTCTGCAATTTACTTATTTATTTGTTGTTTAATTTATTTAAATTAACTCACCAACTGGTTTACTCTAAAGTTTCAAGTGACTGCAATATTATGTTTAATAAGTCAGTATGCCAGTAGCGTTAATATTTTCAATGTTAAGGCCGTTTTACAATTTGGAAATTGTTTTTGAATGTCAAAAAAATTGCAGCAATTTTACTTCGACGATTAAGTTGCGGTTTATTTTACAATCAGTAATTTTTATTGAAATATTTTGTTGCGTACGGAATGACCAACTTAACAGAAATAGACGATTATCAGCTGTATGGTGTCATTTGTCAATTTTTCTGTTTTTGGCTTATATTGTACTTGATAATTATTGTTTGTTCGTTTATTAATGAAAATTAATAAACAAATTAACGAAATTTATTAAACTGAACTAAAAATGTAAATGTGAGGTTATTATAATAAGCAATTAAAATAAATAAAAGTTGCACGCAAGTTGAAATATTATAGTCCGAATATATTTGTAATCTAAACAGTGATTCAAGTACTTGCCCGAGTTGTTGTACAAGAAATTTACGTGCACGTAAGTCCAAGTGTACTTTATCCAAGCACACGTGTACTATATTCAACGGACTTTAGCCACTTTGTAGTACACACATTTTTTTCCAATAATAAGGGGCCGTCCTCTGCAGGAAACACTAAGATCTGTGCGGCCTATTGTGTTTGTTCCATTTCTATGTTTGCACTCATTTTTCTTTTCCTGTACTCTCCACCAACTTGGAAGGAAGCATATTTCCACCGCTTCTAGCATTGCTTTTCTAAAGAAAATGCGATCCAGAGCAGTGATGTGTTTCGCTGTTTCGGGATCTTTATCTCCAGCAAAGACTCCCTTGACACATTTTGAACTGGTTCTGGTAACACTTGACAGACATACGTCCTGTTAAGAGACCTTGTTGTAGTCCCCACTTTATTACTGCTAAGCATTAGCAGTTTCTTTGTGGTTTTAGAGCTAGGTCTTTGGATAAAGGCCTTGCTATGCCTCTGCATTTAAGTCTGTTTCTCTAGTGGACATCCTGCTTTTCCCTGATCCAGAGTTTTACTGCACTACGGACTATATATTTGGGTATTTGCAGTACTGGTTCTGAACCAATATAGAATGCCGATGATCCCTGCCTAGCTAGTTATGCCCAGTTTACCCAGACATTTATCCCAGCTAGTCACGACTATACCTTTGGACTCATAAGCGCCCCGAGTGCTGCCTGACTGAACATATATTGATAAGCGGGGTGCAAGGGGTATTGACGCGATACATATAGCCTAGCTTACCCAAAAGTCAACCTCACCTTCACGTGGTGCACCCTGTTTACACAAACGAGGCTCTGACGTCCGAGTATAGGCGGTATAACCTTATACAACCCTCAGACCTACCATCTTCTGGGGAAAAGGAGTAGTAAACTACACCTATCCGGCCGAGAACGTAGCAAGGGAGCTATCGTCGCGGTCCTCACTGTGCCATAGCCATCCCGTGCTACAGTTGCAGCTAAAAATGTGCGGCAGCGTAACCGCCACAGTTAAACCTTTTCACTCAGCTTACACACAGCAATGATGGAACATTCGAGTGGGACAAAATTATCATCCGGAGATAAAATACCATCTCAATCGGATCTCCGGGAGGGGGTGCCTACTCGAGCGTATCATCGGAGAAACAAAAAACATCAATGTTTCACGTTTGCGGTGTGGAACGTCCGCACTCTACTGGACAAGATAAATTCAAATCGACCAGAGAGAAGAACAGCACTGGTCTCACAGGAACTCCACCGATTAAATATAGATGTTGCCGCTCTAAGCGAAACACGCTTTGCGGATGAAGGTAGTCTCACTGAGGAGCATTACACCTTCTTTTGGAAATCGCCACTAAATTAACAGAAGTACCTATTGGTGTCTCCGAACGTCTTATGACCCTTAGGTACCCCATACCAGACAAAACTTACGTCAACATCATTAGTGCCTACGCTCCCACCCTTGACGCTAATTTTGAGGATAAGGATAAATTTTACCAAGCTTTACAAAATGCCCTCCAACGAATTCCAAAGCACGAACGAATCATCTTGCTAGGTGACTTTAATGTCCGTGTCGGCAAACAGCAGGAAATATGGCCTGACGTATTGGGAAAACATGGAATGGGAAACGTAAATAGCAATGGTGAACGCTTATTAACAATATGCGCAGAGTATTATCTTTGCATCACCAATACGTGGTTTATGTTGATGGATAAGTTTAAAGGTACCTGGAAATATCCTAGATCAGGCCACTGGCATAAATTGGACCACATAATCTTTCGAAGGACGCATCTAAAAGATGTTAGGCTCACAAAAGCCAGAGTAGATGCCGAATGCGGCACTGACCACCGACTTTTAATTTCAAAAATGAAAATCGAGTTAAAACCCAAACATCCACACTGTAAAAAGCAAAACAACATGACCAGATTGAACGTATGGGGTCTAGAGAACAACAATACCGCCGACGCCCTCCGGAAAGCCATCAAAGAATCACTTCCACCGATAGCCTCAATCTCAATCTTGGAAGCTTAACAAGGATGGACACAATTAAGGGATGCGATTCATAAAACCAGCGAAGCAGTACTGGGAAAGTCGAACAAAAAGAAACAACCAGACTGGTTTAACGAAAATCAACCGCATATACAGGCTTTGTTGGAACAAAAGCATAGAGCACATCAAGCAGTCACTGCAAATCCGCATAATCCAAGACTGGTAGACAACTTTAAAGCAGCCAACAACACGCTTCGAAGAGAACGGCGCCAACTAAAGGATAACTGGTGGTCACAAAAAGCGAATCAGATTCAAGAGTACGCCACGCATCACGAATATCGTAAATTCTTCGAGGCTGTAAAAGAAGTATACGGTCCAACTAAGAAGCTAAGCTGCCCAATCATGGCACAAAATGGCGAACTTCTAAAAGAGGAAGAACAAATCAGAAATCGCTGGAAAGAACATTACAGCCATATTCTTAACCAAGAAAACAACCCCAATATGGAAGCATTAAACACAATACCTCAGTATAACAGCCTCGATATATTAGACATCCCAATAACAGAACAGGAAATAGAGACCTCCATAGGACAGCTTAAGAACAACAAATCGGCTGGCTGTGACGCGATTCCAGCGGAAATCTATAAGTGTGCAAGTAAAGAACTTATTGGTCATCTTAAGGCTCTCTTCGATGTCGTATGGGAGAGCGGAGAGGTACCTCAGGACTTTGGCAACGCGAATATAGTGAATATATTTAAGAACAAAGGAAGTGCATCAGACTGCGGAAGTTACCGGGGAATTTCACTATTGGCTATCGGCGGCAAAATTCTTGCAAAAATAATGTCAAATCGCCTGCATCCATATGCTCAGAAATGTCTCATTTTTACACCACTTGACCACTTTTCTCTTAATAATTAAAACTACGGTAATCGCAAAACAATTTCCGATGTACGAGATCAACTTTGGCAACAAGTGATGGCGATAGCGCTGCCAGATTGTGATGTATTTATGGGATGAATCTTAACATAAAACTGGGAAACAATATATTTGTTTTTTTTTGTTTAATTTAATAATTATAATATTTTACTAATTAATTGATTTATTTGTTTTATAGCTTATTTTACTTATTACATATTGGCAAAAACTAGTCTATTATCAAGATTATTCTAAACGTTACTATGGGGTTATGTATTTATTCATTGATTTACAACTTAAACACTTCAAGTAAGTGGTAATAACAAGTAAGAGGGTGCCATTAATTTACAAAATAGTAATAACAGAATTTACTAAAAATTAACATAGAAATAACTTTGAAAGTGGTTTAATGTGCTTACCAATCAAACTTACTTCTCTGAGTGCAATCAAGGGTAATAAAGCACCGTTATTGTCACGTTCTCGTTCAAAATAGTTTATCAGAGAAGGTACAAGCTCTTGGTTTCGACTGTTTAAATGCTTCGGCATATTTTCAACACACAATTTTAAGAAATGCAGTACAAAAACTCGAAAAGATAGTTCTTAAAAGAACTGTTTGTGCTGAAAAGTACAATTAAAAAAAAGACTATGAAAATAGGCAAAAACAAAAATTATTCACAAAAATTCAATAACAGCACAATATTAAACAAAATAATGACTGATATTATGATAATTGTCAAATAAAAAACCACAACATTGCTGAAAACGGCGCAATGTGACCAACATAGCGATCAAAAATTCGGTTTAAACCAATTTTTGCAGCTTTAATCTGAATAAAATATCTGTTACCAATGATTTGCTCAATAAAGTAAAATAAAGAGTACAATTATTATACAACAAATTTAAACATTTTTGCCAAAATGTCATTTAGTCAGGTTCATAGGATTTAGTGTCAATTTCGATATTGATGACGTCCATCGGAAAATGTTTTACGATTACATGATAAATTCATTAATTAAACTTTTTGTATTTTTTAACTTCAGATATTTCTATATAATTTTCTTTTTTTTTGCGCTATTAACCGGTCATTTTCTTGTTTTCAGCGTACACTCAACGTGGTGATCACAATATAATCCTGCTGAATGCTCCCCGTTTGGAAGCCGGCCCGTGGTACTTGACGGCAGCTCAAAACACTCGAATCGTCGGTCAGTATGCGGCCCGGTTTATCGATTATCTTGTGTCGAGAGGACTCTATCTGCCCAGTCTGCATCTGACAGGGTTAAGTCTGGGAGCACAGATGGCGGGAGTGTGCGGCCAGAATGTTAAAAGCGGCAGGATTAGGAGAATTACAGGTATGCTTAAATTCGGGAACGTTTTTTTTAGAACAGAGAAGTAAAAGGAGATTTAGTATATGAGTATGGTTTTAAATCATGCGGAAAAGACGGATCTAATCAAAAAATAAAATTGCGCAAATACTGCAGTCTTTCTTCAGTAAGAATTTAAACTCAGATCTAGTATATTTTTAATGCATTACTCTTGAGTACTAACCAGGAAATATTTGAAACTAAAATAATTTCGAACTTTCATTGCCTTTACTTATTTTAACTTATACAATATTTCATCATAAAATTATATACTTATATTAGAGCAAAGCATTCACACGTAAAAAAAATTAGTGTCTTGTATTGACTAAAATACACTCCAGATTGACTCCACTGCGGCCGCGAGAGCTTTTTGTGACTCAGTTTCTACAAGCTCTTTAATAGAAAAAGGGCATTAAAGTTCACCCTCAAGACCCAGCCTTTTAACATAGGCCATTATGTCCGAGAGTGATATGTCTCCTAGGTCTAGCGTGGGTAAACTAAAATAATTTCGAACTTCCATTGCCTTTACTTATTTTAACTTATACAATGTTTCATCATAAAATTATATACTTATATTAGAGCAAAGCATTCACACGTAAAAAAATTGGGTGTAGTCAACCGTGCAGTTGGTTTGGTTGCAGACTTGATCAATTCACTCTGACTCGTGTAGACGCGCCTTGAGGCTGTCCATTGAGAATGTCCGAATTGGTGCGTTTTATAAGTGGTTTTCAGATTGTGGGATCTTTTAAACTTAAATTAGATATTAATAGTTATTTTCCTTGATTCCTCGTTAACATACCGGGCTTTTGACCACCTTATTTTGAAGTGCTTGAACTACACACGGTCTGCAATACATAACTTCATTGTTTAACCTCTTTATGTGTGTTTTTCATGTTCGTTAAGTCGTACGTTTAGAGCACTTTTTATCTCTCTAATATTCAACTGACTGCACTTACAATGCACATAGTGTATGGAAGATGTACTCTTTCTCTCGATTTGATGATCTTGATATTGGTTTTGTTAAGACACTTCTGAAAGTAGCCCCAGACTTAAAAGCTTTTAAATTTATACTGTTTGGCTCTTCGACTGATCTTTGATCTTTTCTGATACTCCTTTCAAATAGGGAGTCCTCGAGGGAGAACATCATATTTAGGCTGGCCTACCAAGGACTTAGTCTTGTAATTGGGTATAATTATTGCGATAGATTTCGCAGAGTAACTATTACGAAGTAAATCTACTATAATATTACTTAGTTTATTAGTAAGTTAAAAAATTCTTGGTAACTGAATATAAGGATTGCTCGATAACGTAATGTTTTAACTAATGTATAATATATATGTTACGGTGTTAAAGTCCGATGTCCGGTTAATGTCGACATTAACAGGTTAATATTTGGGTTTGGTTATGTTTTTGGTTGTTTTGTTGTGTGTTATTCTCGAGATTAACAGGGTAATGTCGTCATTAACCGGACATCGGACCTTAACCGTAACATATACATTAGTGACATAAATACCTATTATTGTTGCTTCGACAGACTAGTTTTGAATATTATCAAGAGACGAAAACTTGAATACCTTGGCCATATAACCAGAGGACCTCGATATGAGTTTCTCCGACTGATCCTTAATGGAAAAGTCGAAGAAAAGAAGTGGATTGGGTGCAAGAGGCTTTCGTGTTTGAGGAACTTGCGGCAATGGCACAAATTACCTGAAATGGACAGGTTTGAGCGCGGATGAATTCCTCCATGTAGCGCAAGCGCATGATCGAGGGCGATACAGAAATATTGCTAACATGGCAGTCGTCAACGTTTACTAGGAACATGACACTTGAAGAAGAAGATGGTTGCTTCAGAATGGTTCGACTGAGAAATTTTTATATTATTGCAACTCCGTTGACGCTGAGCTCGCTAGCATCTTATAGGAGTATTTATTATAATTTTGATTTGGAACCCTAATAACATTTGCAGTTTAATAAGTGATTATTCAAGTCTTTGTATCTCTTTTTTGCAGACAATTAGCGGCTTTACTGCAGATTTAAGGCCAGTTTACTTTACGAATCTTAAATACATTCTTTTTCATAAAATACCCTGGTAATTCTGCAGATTGACTTAATACTGAATTACTTTTAGTATTTCTTTATTAACTGAATTTTTCTTATTATTAATTAATTAGATTATTTGTTTCCTCAAGCTGTGTCTCTTCGCTAATTATTATCATACCAAATATTGTGTATATTGAAAGGTAAACACATTTGAGTAGTGACATTTTGAATATTATTGCCTCGATTATTGCTTAGAATACATTGACCGGCACTCTCAATGCACCGGCACTCTGAATGAAATATATCGGTCTTGAGGAATTTTATCATATATATGCATAATAGCAAAAATGGGCGTTAGGTTACTAATAGTAAACAAGTTTTTAAACACACTCGTCTTTGTGCATATGGAGGGTCACAGTGCAGTACCTCGTATCATTTTTGATACGATTTTCCAGGAAATCCAAAAAAAAACATGCCTAATTTTACAGGAAATTATTGTTATTTTTTAAATGAATTATTATCTTATAGAGCCGAATTATCAATGCTTTATTACCAAATAAAATATTTTGAATTATTTTGTGACCCTCGATATCCAATTCATCCCATTTTTATATGCAGTACAATATCTTCCACATTTTTTCTATCTAATGGTTCTCCACCAAATTTTGGAGCAGCAGCAGAAACACTTGTCGCAAAAAACTAGTGTTGATTCTCTTTGTCATTATCCCGGTAGCTTTCACCCGCCTATCGTGAGATCTTTTCTTATTAAATCTAATATCTTCTTCACTGAAACAAAGATAGAAAATACACCACTGAAAATAGTGTCTACAGTATTTTTGTATAACGAAGAATGAATGTAATTTCACAGCAGAATTGTAAATTGACAGCATCCTCAAACTGGTATTCGTCCTCAAAATTGTATTCGCCTCTGGTGGCCGCTCCTGCCTTTTATTTATTATTACATGGCATTCTATTTACCATGATGTTAATATATCAACTTTCTTTCGTCTATAACCTGTATAACCCCCAGAGTATTTGTGTGACTTTTCTCGCCTTATCCTTCTTTGTGAATATGGTCCTCTATATTGGAATAGACGCTTTCTGCTTTTATGTGCATTGCCAACTAATGAAAGCTGTAACAAAACTACACATCTAAAGGTAAATTAAAACAACTTTCGTTGCACGTCATCAATGACACCATGCGTCGTCTTATGGAGTTTGCTGGTGGTCGTATTATGATGTGCAACCAAAGTTATTTTAATTTCCCTTATACTACACAGTAATTTGCTTAACAACGACTACGTCAAATTACATTTTCCTAGGCAAATTAGTTTTAAATAGAAGATATTTTTATGAAGCTATTTGTCCAGGCCGATAATAGTTTCCTAGACAACAGGTATTGCCTGCCAATTATATATTTTTTCATTGCGAATCCGTTCGTCGTTGTTCACACATACTGACACTAAGTATCTACAATAAATGTTCTTACACGTTACATGCCGCACCGTGCTTATGCGTGACATATTATTAAAATTCCATAACGCTACCCCCGATTTCAGCATCCACCGACGTTGATTGTGGTGCATTACAGCATAGCTGGTAAATTAATATCAACAGGTAAACATACTATGACATGATGAACAAAACTGAATATATAACAGTTGTTGACTCTGTATATTTTCGTGTACAGTGTGATATTATATTAAGTTACAAAATATGTACAGAATATAATTATATTAAGTTACAAATATAGATATTAGAAACATTATAAGCTCAAAGAATTTGTGATCAGTTAGGCAGTCCAGATATGATATTGCATATCGGCCGACTATATGGTCGTTCAGAGTACAGATATATTGATATTCAGACAGGCGCATATGTGATCTTTCATGTACGATTCTTACGTGTATTAACCTTGCAGACAGGGGCGGATACAGGAATTTATTTTAGGGGGGGGGGTAAAAAGTAATGTAGAATACGCTTTTTAGGGCGCTATTTTCAAACGCAATCTAATGAAAAGCCTAATATTTAAACCAATTTATAGGAATCAGGAGGGGCCCGGGCCCCCTCCGTATCCGCCACTGCTTCCACATAATGGCAAAATCATTTGTTTCGTGGTGGGATTCGTGCAATCGTGCAATCGGACTGTTACATATCCGATATTTATCTATAGTAGGCCACTAACCTACCGAAATTAATAAAATGTATAGATTGTGACGGAACAAATCTTTCAAAAATCTCTTGCATGTATGGGCGGCTATTATTTTTTCAAGCTAGATCATCTTTTGGGGTTGCCTTTAGCCTCATAATAACATAGGTACCATTTGGCAAGTCTTCTAGGGTTTAACTGTCGGATTCTGATTTGTAAGGTGACCAACCATTATCTCTTTAACCACATATTTCTAAAGGGTGGAAGCACTCAGCTTCTGCAGGAATCCAGAGGAAGCCCTTTGCCTGTATCAGCAAGGGTCGTCCCTGACTCTGTCGTAGTTTGGTTAGGTTAGGTTAGGTTAGTTATCTGGATAAGCTATTTTGTTCCCATTTTTTGATTAATTTGATTACCTATCAAGTCCCCAGATTTCTTTTTTAAAGGCAGTATATCTTTAGAACTGGTCTATTAGTATAGTGTGACTTCCACTACTTGGAAATTTGTAATTGAATGAACTAAAAGGACATAGTGTTATAGCTGTAGTACTTCTCAGGTAAAATAGTCGTAGCAGTCGAACCTGAAAAACAAACATTATAATTATCAAAAATAAAGGCACATATATCCTCTTCTTCTCTCCTGTCATTCTAATGACCGCATGTTCAAATTCTGTATATAGTTGCCACTATAAGTATTCAGTCAAGTTTGTTTAAAATAAGTAAAAATAAGTTTCTCTGTAATGATTGCTTTGAATATCTTGATTTTAAAATTGGATGTCATAGTCAGTGTTCAGTGGAAAGGG